TGCCTGGATAAACCCGACCAGTGCTGCTTGCACGGTGTGGACTGGGGCCTCCAGGCTTTCTTCATCAGGACCAAGCGTAGAGCTTTGTGATGTAGCCCGAGCAGTCTCATTTGCTGTTTTAGCAAACCTGTCTGGCAAGTAGCTCTGCAGACTGCAGTCTGCACTGGGCCACACCAGTTCCTCATTCAGCTTTATTGCAGGAGCTTCTTCATCTTCCTCTGTTGTAGGACGCTCAAGCTGCCAGCCAAGGCAATACAGCAAAGAACAGGCAGCAGAAAAACAAATCAGTGGGAAGGGCGGATAATGTGGAAATTCTTCCAGTGACTGACCAGTTTCAGCTTCTTTTATCAAGAGGGGTGGGATAGATATTAAAATCTGAAAGTCTATAATTTCTGGAGCTCTTCATCCAGGATGGGTTGGGGCTCACCTATGTGTCTTTTCTTCCAGATATCCGTCATAAGTGCAATGAATGAAGAATGTGCTGTAGCCATAAAGCCTTGCAAATAAAGAGGATCGCCAGGCTCCGGGCAGCTGCTCAGGTCTGGACAAACCACAGATCTCTAAATTTGGTTCCTATTGTCACCAAAGCTCTGGCCTTCACAAGCAACCTCATTTCTTTTTTGAATTGTTTAAAAAAAAAAAAAAAAGCAGTGCTGGATTCTGGATTAGTGTTGCAGGCTAACTGGCAGTTTTCAAAATCACTGAGATTTTAGTTCCTTAATTGTAACTATTTTAACATTCCTGTGGGTTTCAGCTATGGATCTAAGAAACCAATCAGGTGTTACTAGTGGATATATTTTTTATTTGCTTGAGCAAAACAGTGTTTGTCTGTATGAACAGACAAAATACAGTATTCAGGGGCTTTTAGATAAGCTGGTAGGTATCTAGGATTATAAAGTGACCTAGAGCACAAATAGTATTTTTCTTGACATGTTTAGGTAGAACTGACAATAAAAGTAGCATTTTTTTTTTTTTTTTAAAAAAAAGAGCTTAAGTATTTTGTGGATTGGGACTCTTGCAGAACTGTAGGTGCCAATCGCAACTTTTAGACCAAGAAACTCAAGTGATCAAAAATGCCAGCTGGCTTGACCAAGCCCCAGTGGCCATGTGCAACTTAACTGTATTACCTCTGTATTCTTCTTTGCCAACTCGTTGGCTTATTGTAACGATAAAATGGTGTCAAAGCCTACCTGTGGTTTAGGCAGGCAGTTGGAATATTGGGTAGATATAGATAGGTCAAGGGGACACAAAGGTGAGAATGGATGTTAAAGCTATAGACTTTCACTCGAGGCCTTTGTCAGACTTGAAAAATAAAATAGAAAATGCAGTTCAATTGCTTTCCTTTATTGTATTTATCTTAAACTATAAAAGGCTGACAAACTCCATGGGAATCTGTTGCAGTGCTTCCAGCTTTAGGTTTTAATCTTCAGGTTCAGACCGTATTTTTGTAGCACAGGGACCACGTGTTTTTCAAGAAGTGGGACAAACTGTAGCATTGAGCCTAAACTAAATGCATGTGATTCTTTTTGGAAAAAAAAAATTAAATAAAATATGGAACTATTGTATTTTCAAAATATAGACTTGACAGACAATAACTGAAAACAACCATGGCTTAACTATAAAAGTAAATTGCTACATAGTTATGAAAGTGAGCTCCTCTCCAGGGGAGTTCTGAGTCATTGAAACATGCATGCACGCCTCTAACTATTTAGTAGCTTAACAGGCAAACACAAGGCTTCACAGAACTAGTCACAGAAGGATAACTAGCCTACGCCTGTTTGAGGCGTTCAACTTGAATACTAAGACTTGGTGACTCTTCTATGAGTGGGAAACTTCCTCAACCCATGGCTCAGACCTGGCTTCACAGTTGCTAAATTGTTTCGTGAACTTGCCTTAAGCTTCGGTGGCTGTTGGCTAGTGGAGGACAACTTGTAGCCACGTGGCATGCTGCCCTGGCCAGCACGCACAATTCACACTCCATTGGCAGTGGGAGCCAGACTTCACGCTGCTGTCAAATGCTTAAAAGTGTTTTCAGCTTAATAGTATGTACTCCTTTAATCCCCAAAGGGCTCATGGCCACTGTCCTGAACTGCCCTTGTGCATACTGTGGCAGGGCTTAGCAAATCTTGGAGGTCTAATGTAGATGGTGGAACCCACGCATTTTCCATAGATTTCTCCTGACAGGGAAAGCAGTACAGTGAAGGTAAGACAGCAATAAATACTACTCTGGTCACAAAGCACAGTTACCTGGGACACCTGGCAGAGGCAGGATACTGCCACACGCTCTTGCCCAGCACAATACACATCACAGGTGAGCTCTGTACATAGCACCTTGACTGAAATGGCAGAATTGCTTTAAAAAAAAAAAAAAGCTGTAGATGCAAGAGATGGAAGTGCATTCAGAACAGTTTCAAATAGTTCAAGGTAGTCTGTGCTATGCTCCTCTCTGCCTCTTCGTCAAACTGGTACCTGAAAGACAGGCTTTGTTGGCTTTGGAGGTGACTGTGGAACCATCGCTGATGGTCTTGACAGCAAGCTGAGCTGTGTGATGTTAAAGGGGCAGTCATGGGTTGCTATGTCAAACTAATGCGAGTTCTAATGCTGTCACCGCATTACTAATGCTTCTGATATGCTTGAAAACTACAAGACTTGGATTTGTCCTTCTTCTGGTAGTGCTTCAGTCTACTTTCAAGGTGCCTGTCTGCCCTCTAAAACCTTGTTGGAAGACAGGTATTTGATGCCACTGGCCCACAATCTAAGCAGTTACTTAGACTGTAAGCTCTCCAGGACAAGGGCTGGGTTTTGTCCTGTTCCTATAAGCAGGGGTCCTGGTCTGACTGGGAGTTTTCAGGTACTACAGCAATCTAAAGACAGAGGTTTTATATCCTCCAGCTTGCTGGAAGAGCCCTCCTTGGGACACACGGATGTCCTTCTATTGCAACCTTCAGTTCTGCAAGATTTAAATGATTAAATACTTCATTATAGGTTTGTTCTTATATACTTAGTTGTCTTTTGTGAAGCGCTTCGAACACTATGGAAGCGCAGAGCATTGGCTCGTCATGCATGAAGTTTCCCATAGGTAATACATAAGCATGAGTCTTAAGCATAATCTCCAAGTTTCAGTAAAGTTAAAAGTTGCTTCTGAATTAGAACATGTATTCGAGGCATTTATTTTTTTCCAAAGTAAGATGTTTCAGTTTACTGTTAGACTTGTTTGCAACAAACTTTGTTTGTGATCAATAGTCCATATAGATGCGTGGTTTTAAGATTCCTAACCCAAATGCTTAGGGAAATTCTCTTTTCATAGCTTTACTTTAAAACAAATCTTACCAACGTACTTGTTCTGTAGTACTGTCTTAACACTTAAATTGTGTCAAAACCGAAAACTAGAAACTTTTAATACCTGATGGCAATTGTTCAGAGTAAAGGCTGTGAAAACTAGGAGGTGAAGAAAAGGATTTCCACTCCAAATAATGCATTTTTTTTATGGCTCCAGTTCATTGAGTTTCTCTTACTACTTTACAGAATTTGAAAAGACTGCAGTGTTTCCTGCCTCAAATGTTGGCAAATAATACTTTAAGATTTCAATAGATCCTTCTAATTTTTGCTTATAATGATGGTTTTTCAACTAGGCTCTTGCTAGTTGGGCCATGTTCTCAGGGCTGTTTTTTTTAAGAAGTTAGCTGAATTTCATTGTTTTAACGTAACTGCTTTCAAGCCTCTTGCAGGTTTTTCTAATCCACAATGTACCCAGAAATGGTGCACAGTCTGTAGTTTCACAATACAGGTAATTTTACATAATCTGTAAAGAAGTCGATTTTGTTGACAGTTCAGACTCTTATGGTTACTGCAGGTCAGTCTCACAGAATTCAAAATTCAATGAATCCCACCTTTTTTTTTTGGTTGAGTAATTTAGAATGTAGTTTGTTACAGTAGAACTAAACTTCGGGGCGGGGTGGGGGGAAAGAGACCTTGTTAAGGATATTTTGAGTATCTCGCTTGTTCACTGAGAATGTTAAGGAAGGCGTAGATCCTGGAGGCCTTGTGCTGGGAGCGCGGTGGAGCGTTCTGCACGGGATGCCAAGCTTCGGGTGTCTCTCCAGCATCTGTAGCCTGTCCCTACGGTATTTGGTATTTGGCATCTGAGACTTAACTTGGTTTGTTGAACTGAGAAATAAAATGGTGGCTATGTCTTGCTGTTATCCCAGAAAACCTCTCTTGTCCTGTGCTGTATCTTATAAGCTTAACTGCGGTTTGCTTTCAAAGTGCGGGTGGAAAAGAGGAATGATGGCGATGACTCTTTTTACTGATAATAGCGAAAACCAAATCCTGTAAATCGTGTGAACTGGGCGCGTGGTTCAAACCTGTATCTGTTTTGGAAGCTGTATTGTTTTCAACACCCTGGAAATGATTGGGGAAAGATGTAAATGTTGTGTTTTGCTCCAGAACTAATAAAGATGTCAGTGCTGTGGGGAGCTGGGTGCTGGTTAAGGTTACAGGGAGCGCTGGAGAGTCTCAAAGGCTTCGGTGAAGTTTGTTGTAGATGGCTCTATGTGCTCCAGTGAGGATGGTCTGTTCTCTGGGCCTTGGGTCCCTCCACTTCCCTGAGGAGAATCGCCTCACTGCCGCAGCGGCGCGGCCTGCCGCTCGTACGAGAGCTTGCGTTCTTGCCCAACAGAAATGAAAATCGGGAAATAAAAGTTCAATAAAAAGGTGACTCCTTCATGCTACACACGTTTCCTGCCTGTTTGTTCCTCTGAGGAAATTCAATAAAAAGGTGACTCCTTCATGCTACAGCCGTCTCCTGCCTGTTTGTTCCTCTGAGGCAACACGCGCCGCCGGCGGGAGGGGCCTCCCTTCCTCCTACTCCCAGCATGCCCCGGTGCGCCGCCCCGCCCCACGCGCTTACGTGATGACGTCGGGGGGGGGCTCTCCTCCTCCTCCCGGCATGCCCCTGGCTGCGCTGCCCCGCCCCGCGCGCTTACGTGATGACTTCAGGCCGGCTATAAAAGCGTAGCGTGAGGCGTTGATCTCTCTTTCCTGCGGGAGCGGCGGGGCGGTGACATGGCGCCGGTGAGGGCGGCGTGGGGACCGCAGTGGGCTGGTGGGCCTCGCGGGCGCGGTGTGGGCGGTGTGAGGCGGCTGGTGGCGAGCTGCCGGCCTTCCCGCCGCCGGTGGCCAGGGGGCCTCTCCCCGGGAGGGTCTTGAGTGGGTGGCGGGAGGCCGGGGCCTGGTTCTCAGGCCGCGGTGAGGTGGCTGCAGTGAGCACCGCTCTCTAGGCGGTGTCGGCCTGGGCCGGCCCCCGCCGCCGCCGGGGCACACTCTGCCCTCTCCACCCCCCCTCGCAGTGATGAAAGGTTTCCAGGTGTGGGTTGTTAATGTCGGGGTTTTGTTTTTTTTTTTTTTTCTGTGTTTTAGCAAAAGGATAGAAAATCTAAAAAGTCAACCTGGAAGTTTTGCCTTGACTTGACCCATCCTGTGGAAGATGGAATCTTTGATTCTGGGAATTTTGTAAGTCGTGGTTTTACTCGTACTTCTGGTGTGTAGCATATATATAGGTGTGCGTATAAATATATATATACCATAGTACATAGTACAATACATAGTACATAGCCATAGTACAGTAAGACAAGTGAGTTACTGCTGAAAAGTTACCTTTTAAACTTGTAAAATCAACAGCTGTTCTTTAAATTATCAGCACTTTTCAGAAGTTTCTTGGGTTTAGATGTCTTTTATAGACAAGATGGTTCATACCTACCCATGATGGAAGCCATTTTTGAAAATACTAGGGACAAGAAGGTTATTCGGGGTAGCCAGTATGGACTTATAAAGGGGAAATAATATATTATTAAATGACAATGGTGTTTTTTGGGCAGTGTTAGGTTAATGGTTGGACTTGATGATCTTGAAGGTCCCTTCCAACCTAGATGATTCTATGATGAGGACTATTTTAAATTGAATCCTGTTTTAGCACGGGGGTGATTGTTTTTAATTATACGCTGTAAAATCTTACTGCATTGTAAATACTTGGTATCAGGACATAAGTAAACGTGGTTTTTAATACTGCTCTGTGGCTAGGGTCCCTTCCCTAGTTCATACCTAGGGTGCCATTCCCTAGTGTTCTGTTTTTTAAATGTTGAAACAGGAACAGTTCCTAAAGGAGAAGGTTAAGGTCAATGGAAAAACCGGGAACTTGGGCAACACCGTTCACATTGAACGACTGAAGAACAAGATCACAGTGACATCTGAGAAGCAATTTTCTAAAAGGTTGGCATAGGTTTCCTTTTGTTGTATTTGTGATAGCAGATTTTGAACCGTGCTGTGTTGAACATGATGCACTACTGATACCTATAGAGAAGGTCTTAGCTCTGAGCTTCGTAGCACTTGTAAATATTAGTGGAAGTCTTAATTCAAACAGATTTGCAACATTAGATACTTAAAAAAACTGCTTTTTAAAACTCAAGACTTGATTGCAAACTGATTTTCCCTCTAATATAAGCATAGTAATACAGTGTCAGGCTTTTATATGTCGTGCTGAGCTTACGTCACGGGTGGCTGTTTTATTACTTAATTGGTTGTCTTAAAATGTACGTGTACACAATATGTGTGTTGCAAAAGAACCCTTTAGGTCAAATGAAGCCTTGAACTGCTTCCTGCATTAGGCCACGCAACAGATGCATGTGCTGATGAGAGGTGTGGTTCCTTCCCTGCATCCACCCCTTCGTTTGCTGATACAGATGCACCGGTATCTCTTACGTTAGACCAAGGTTTTGAACCACTTCTCAGTGCTTTTGAGTTACTGGCACTGTACTATGCAGTCAGAAGGCATCAAATAATAAATTCTTATGTAGATACATAATGGAAATGAAGTGGAAATATACTTTTTTTATCTGTTGTATATGATAATTCTTTATTTCTGGATATAGTGTGTTGTTGCCCTGCTAGAGCCATGTCTTGGCTGGACTGCAGACAACAGTAAGGCTTGTTAAACCAGAAAGTTCTGATGTGAATTTACTTTTTTTAAGGTACCTAAAATACCTCACAAAGAAGTACCTCAAGAAGAACAATCTGCGTGACTGGCTGCGTGTCGTAGCGTCTGACAAGGAGACGTACGAACTGCGCTACTTCCAGATCAGTCAGGATGAAGAGGGATCGGAGTCTGAGGAATAATTGAAGCTTAGCTTTCTACTCAATACAGCGTACAAAAGACTAGAACATCTATTTATAAAGAACACTTAACTTATTGGTGAATAAAGATTTTTGTACCCTGTTTGACAGAGCATGGTTAGTTTTCTAGATTTTTTTCTTAAATGCTAATTAAAAACCATTGCAGGGAATTATTTGATTTGCAGTTTTCCTTCCGGTGGTGGAAATCAGAGCTGTTCCACCTGGCGTCCGTGAAAGTTCAAGTTGAAAAGAACTGAGCCCTTCACCCCGTACAAATGTAGGTTGGTTACATCAGCGTTTAATCATATTGGTGCAAATAATGCCGGAGCTATTTGTGACTAAAAGCACCAGCTCCTTCGAGAAAAATTTCATTTCTGAGTGATTTTTTCAAACCATTGTTTGTCATATTCCTGTGTGTAAGCACAAGTCAGACAGGAGTATAACAGAGATCTGTTAGCCAAGTGTGAATTAGATTGACGTGTCAAGAGATAAATCTCATTGCCAGCATCGAGCTAAAACACCTTAAATGAAGCAGCGAGATGTGCTTTAATCTTAACAGTGACAGTGAATCCCACAAAATCCACACAGATGTTTGTACTTTTATGGTGGTGGATTTTAACAGTTCTTGTATTTGACTTGAGGGATTATTTCTTCAATTCAAGTATTTCTTTAGTGCAAGTGGCAGGTTCTTCATTGAAACACAAGTCACTCCGGATCCTATAAACTAGTTCTTTTGCTTATGTGACATCAAGAGAAATTGGATTAGTTTTCACTATGAAAAAGTGGTGCTTGTGTGCTGCGGTTGCAGTAGCTGTTCCATCCATGTGCATTTGCTGGCAGTGTACTCTGATTAATTAAAATATTTACTCTCAGGCTCCCGTATCCATGTGCATTTGCTGGCAGTGTACTCTGTCTCTGATTAATTAGAATATTTACTCTCAGGCTCGCGCCATGGTGAGCTCTGGAATTAGTAATGCCATAATTTACTGTCATAAAGCAGGGATGGATGTAGGCTCTGATGCTGAACTTTGGGCTTGAACACATCTGCTGGTTCGGGCTGAAATGCACTTACAAAATTGTTTAATTTCCTGATGATTTTATTTTTTTAATTATTTTTATTTCAGCATTGTTTTTGCTGGCAGACCTCTGAGGCAGACTGTTAGGGGAGTTGCTGAACACAAAGCAGTGCAGTAACAGTTGAGTGACGCCCACTGGTGCTGCCTAAATCAAAACGAGGGGCACACAGTGGGAGATGAGTGTTGTCAGCAGCCTCGGGGACCCAGTTGTCACCTCTTGGTTTGCCCGAGCAGCTGCTCCTGGAGTGCAAAGATCCTATTTGAGCAAAACCAGGCAGTTGGGAAGCAAGGATTAAAGTTGGTTGGGTTCTTAAAGTAGTTACAGCGAAGCAGCCAGGGTGTTGGCAGTTAATCCTGTGTTGAGCCAGCAACGCTGTTTTTCAAAGCAAACCTGCAAATATTAGAAAACCTCTGGTGTGTTTTCTTTGCTGAACCAAGTGAAGCAAAGGGCAGCACTTTTCCAAAATACATCCCCACCTGTTTTGTCAGAGTTGGGCTTCTGTGTGGTGCCACATCCTTTGCACGAGGCTGACACAACACAGCCCTTCTGATTAAACGGGAACAAGCACAAACACAATCGGAGCTAATTGGATCCCGCTGCCTCGTTATCCTGCCCTTTGAAGCAGCCTGGCAGCTGCGTGTGTAGCCTGGCAGATACAGACTGTCATTAGGCAAAAGATGGGGAAAACAAGGCTGGGGATTTCAAGCAAAGCAACTTATTCCGTGGCTGGGTTTGGAGGAAAACTGCCACGCTGCTCACCTGAGTTGTATTGCTCGCTGAGCTTCGCTGCTGTGAGGACGGAGTCCCAAGCAAAGCAACTTATTCCGTGGCTGGGTTTGGAGGAAAACTGCCACACTGCTCGCCTGAGTTGTATTCCTCACTGAGCTTCGCTGCTGTGAGGATGGAGTCTAGGAATTCCTTGCCCCCAATGCTTGAAAACATGGTAAACTTTAAAAAAAATAAATAAAATTTCCAAGTTTGTGATATAACAATAATAAGTGCAGCTCAAGAGCGCTTAGTACATTCTGGAAAATTTTCTTTCCTCTTTTAATAGCAAAAGGGATTTAAATTTAAATGGAATGTTTGCAGGATGATTGTTGATTATTCAGGTTGCATGGAGGAAAGTAGCTGGAGTACAGAGAGGAGAAGCTGACCTCGGACAAAGCTTAACAAAAACAGTGGTTCCTTAATAATTTCATGGATTTCACAGCCAAAGAGGCCAGGAGTAATGCAGGTGATAGGCAGGAAACACAGCCTGTTACTGTTCACACAAGGTAATTAATATAAATTATGCAGATTGGAATCGAAGCAAGCTTTTTTAAAAGCCACAGGTTGGCCTTTCTCTGATCTTTGGTGGGGTCTAACCCATTGAGATGCCAGCTCTGCTGCGCCAGGAGGTGCCAGCCACCTTCCTGCCAATTCTTTGGTTTGGGTTTGTTGGTTTTTTTTTTTCTCCAACTGAAATCTGCTGTAAAATAACCCCTTTCGTTCCTCTTTGTTTTGAAAGTTAAAAAGATCCCGAGCAGCTTGAAAACGGACGGGATTGAGTGTTGGAATTTTCCATATTTAGTGCTGGCTGGGAGCCCAGAAAAGCCCTGCTCACGTCAGCCCAGACGTGAAGATACTGGGAAAAATAATGCACCCGCAGCATGAAAACCTCGCAGGTGACCAGGGATGGTGCCAAATCTGATCCTCACGCCTCCTCAGCACCATGTCTCAGATGAAGCTCAGGGTTGCTTTAGGATTTCCAGAAGGGATAAGCGTGAAATCCAGTTCATCAAGCCAGAAGTTTAATTTGGAAAGAGGAATAATCTTTGCAAAGCAGGTACTGCACCTCTGAACTCAGGACACAGGAAAGCAATGGCACCATAACTCTTACAAGGCTTTAATATACCCCAAATTATATATAATATATAGTATAATATATATAATATATATATCTAATATATAAAAGATACATATTTTTATATATATATATATATTCTGCCCCCCCTTCATTTTTCAATAATGTTTCTCCCCTGCATTTGTCAAAAAAATGTTTTTCCTGCTCTCTTCCAAATAAAATCCATTTAGGAGGACCTCCCACACATGGAAAATGTCAATGTCTGGCAAATAAATAATAATAAAAAGAAACGGAGATTTATAAGCACAAGAGCTACGCGGCCAGAGCTATTTATGTGTGAGCATTCAGACATATTATATTTCTGCACCGTCAGTCTCTAACACATCTACTGCAGCAAAACTCTCACCGACTTCGACTTCCATTAAAAAAAAAACAACAAACAAAACAAAACATCAAAAGCCACAGAATTTCCCCAATCCTAAATAACAGTTATATCTAAATGGCCTTGCATATCCGTTTGCTTTCTGCCCGCTTGCCCTCCTGGCCCACAGCCCCATCAGAAAATAGCTTTATCATATAGCTAAAAGTAGGAAAATCAGAAATAAAGAGGTAAATAATAGCAGGAAATAGCTGAAAAATATGTGGAGGTGCTAAGGTATACAATAGACCCAGCGTGTGGCAGGTATTCAAGGAGGCACAGAATCAAGATCTTCACATAACACCAGCACAAAGTAATGAGAAACAGAGAGGCCTGTGGAAAAATAAATACTCAATAATAACTTCACTGTACCCAGCAGCAGGAAACGAGCTTCAGGGGTGGAAATGATCTGATTACACAAAATACAGACAAAAATAAGGAACAATTTTTCTTTCTTTTTAAAGACAAGAAAAATAAACAAAGACTTCTTACCGGACAGATCAGACAGGATCAAACGCCTCCTCACCTTGCCCGTACCATGATGTCCCATTGGGTTTCTGCCTTGCCCTGTCCTGGTGCCCCAGTTCCCTGACCAGCCCCATGCCCCTGCCCGTCAGCCCTCACAGCAGCATAAAATACCAGTTTGAAAAGTGCTGGACCCACAGAAAAGTGACTGTTTTTCATGCCAATGCCCTGACAGACAGCAAGGTGGCCATCCATTGCCTGTAGAGGCCTATTCCACCTTCCCACTCTCGTTATCAGTCCTCACAGCCCATGCTTCCCATTTAGAGCAACAAAATAGGGTTTATTTTATATGGATATGTTTGATATTGATATAGTAGAATCTTTATCCCATGGACTTTAAGAGCTACGCCAGGTGAAGTGTCCTGGCATCATCCCAATCCGCAGGGATTTGTGTAAGCACCATCCTGTTTCAGCATCAGAATCATGGAGTGGTTTGGGTTGGGAGAGACCTTTTAAAGGTCATCTAGTCCAACCCCTCTGCAATGAGCAGGGCCATCTTCAACTAGATCAGGTTGCTCAGAGCCCCATCCAACCTGACTTTGAATGATTCCAAGGACGGAGCATCTCCCACCTCTCTGGACAACCTGGGCCTTGGTTTCCACCACATTCATCATGAACGATTTCTTCCTTGTATCTAGTCTAAATCTTCCCTCTTTTAGTTTAAAGCCATTACCCCTTGTCCTATTGCAACAGGCCCTGTTAAAGGGTTTTTCTCCATCTCTCCTGTAGCCCCTTTTTAGGTACTGAAAGGCCACAATGAGGTCTCCTGGGAGCCTTCTCTTCTCCAGTTGAAGAACCTCAACTCTCTCAGCCTGTCCTCACAGCAGAGGGGTGCCAGCCGTCCGAGCATCTTTGTGGCCTCCTCTGGACCCATTCCAACAGCTCCATATCCTTCTTAAGTTGAGAGCCCCACTGCGGGGGGGGGGGGATGTCTCACCAGAAGGGAGCAGTGGGGCAGAATTCTCCCCATCTCGCCCTGCAGGCCACACTCCTGGGGATGCAGCCCAGGATGCTGTTGGCTTTTTGGGCTGCCAGCCTGCTCAAATCCACGTCCTGCTGCCAGCCTCCGGATCGCTGCCCAGCCGTCCCACAGACACAGGAATATCGAAATTCCCGTGGCGCAGAGGGTTGGGTTGTTTTGTTTTTGTTTTTTTTTTTTGGCAGGATGCTGGCATAAAACCACTTCTGGGCTCGCCTTGGCACCGCGGCTGCTATTTGAGCCCTAACTCGTGCTAAAGCTGCTGCTTGAG